GGAATGTGCCAACCAAGGCACATTTCAAACACGGGGCTGTGGTAAGAAAATCCAAGAGTTCCAGGCCAACCTGTGCTACCACCTGTGACCTTGTCTCAAAAAATAAAGCTTGTCTTTTAATAGACTGGGTCAGGAAAGAGCAGGTTTTTCTGCCTCTGTCTCTTTTTGGTTAAGTGTTTGTGTAGCCCCGGCAGACACTCCTGCTGCGTCTGCCCCGCAGTGCTTGGCATTACAGATGTGTGGCCTCGCCCAGCAGCACCCTTCTTCCCCCACCTTGCTTTCTTCCTTCTGGTTTGCAGTGGGTCAAACCTATGCCCTCACACAGCTTGTAAAATGCTCGGTGTCAGTGTTTTGTTTTTTTCCTTAGAAACAAGGTCTCACTATGTAGACAAGGTTGGCCTAGAACTCAGAGATGTCCCTGCCGCTGCCCACCCCTCAAGAGCTGGGATTAAAGGTGTGCGCCACCCCCCCCACCCCTCCACCATGTCTGTCTGCCCGTCCCCTTAATGAATGTCCTTGTGGCCAGAGCTAAGGTAGTTAGGACATGATGTGGATTTTTTTAAAGTTTTGTTTGGGGGCTGGAGAAATAGCTCAGTCCTTAAGAGCTCTGGCTGCTTTTCCAGGCCCTAGTTTGATTCCCAGCATCCACGCGGTGGCTGACAGCTGTCTGTGACTCCAGTCCCAGGAGAGTTGCACACCCTCTTTGTCCTCCTCCTTGGGCACTAGGCATGCACACATGCACACACATGCACACAGACATACATGCACACACATGCACACACATGCACACAGACATACATGCACACATGCACGTACATGCACACATGCACATACATGCACACATGCACATACATGCACACAGACACACATGCACACAGACACACATGCACACAGACACACAGACACACATGCACACAGACATACATGCAGACACATAGAACTAATAAACATTTTTTGTTTAGAAAAAGACCCAGTTTATTTTAGGCCACCAGAGCAGCAGCAGGAGCAGTGTGGTGACAGAAGCCCCTGCCTTCTTGTGTTTCTGTGGCTTCCCATGGGAGGGAGCTATGTCCCAGGGACCAAGCACACGTAACTCCATAGCTAACAGCATTGATTGTATATTTGGGGAACATGCCACCCACGGTGGTGTCCACCTTCTTGACTCCTCATTCTCTCCTGCCCTGGTCTCCCCAGTAGCTGTGGTGCTGGCCTTGCTTACCACCCCGCTGGGAGGTTGAAACTTGCTGTGTTTTAAATTGCCCACGTGGGCACCTTTCGTCTGTCCTCTTGTGCCTCCTCTTAGCATCTTTAGGAGTCCTGTCATCTGTCAAGTATTCCTCTCTGCCAATTTTCATCTTGTGCCTAGGAAGAAGCCTTTCTCACTCCTGTCCCCTGCCATGTAGCCCAGGTTACCCTCCTATTTCCCTAGTGCTGGGATCGCAGGTGTCACATCTAGCTTCTCTCTTCCAGTCTGTGTAGCCCCGGTTGTTCTTTAACTGTGGTCCTTCTGCTTTGGCCTCAAAAGTGTTGGGATCACAGGCATGAGCCTGTGAGACAAGCAGGGTCTGGATCTAACAGTACACATGACTTTATGAAAGTGAACACGTGCTGGGCAAGCGGGGGAGGTGCACTTCTGCAGTTCGAGTGCTCAGGAGACACAGGCAGGCAGATAGATCTCTTGAGTTCGAGGCCGGCCTGGTCTACCGAGTTAGTTCCAGGACAGCTACGGAGAGAAACCCTGTCTCTAAAACACATAAAGCAAAACAAAATTGAACACGGAACATGTTAATTAAGCCATAAGGCAAATTCCAAAGAATTCTCATCACAGAACGTTTTTTGCCTGTTAACAGCTAGAAATGATAAACTAGAAAGGGTTTTTGAAACAAATACGACTTACTTTTTGATATTTTGAGAAAGGGTCTCACTCTGTTGCCTTGGCTGGCCTGGAACTGAAGGAATCTTATTACCTCAGCTTCCCGAGTGCTGGGATTGGCAGCGTGAGCCACCACACCTACCTAGTTACATCATCTTTTTTTTCTTTTTTTAACTATTCAAAATTAAAAAAACCAAAAACATAGATTTATGTGTCTTTTCTTAAATTTTATTTTATGTGCATTAGTGTTTTGCCACCAGTTTTGGGTCCCCTGGAACTGGAGTTATAGACAGTTGTGAACTGCCATGTGGGTTCTGGGTTCTCTGGAAGAACAGTCAGATGCCATGCTTGTGCCTGCCCCTGGAGGTCAGAATGGGGTCATCAGGCCCTCTGGGACTGGGGTTAAGGATAGCTGTGAAACCACCATGTGAATGCTGAGCTGCAAAACGAGGTTCCCTGCAGGAGTAACAAGTACATTTAACTACCAGGCCATCTTTCCAGCCCCTAGTTTTCTGAGTGTCTCTTGTACATACTGATGGGTTTCATTCAGTAGGACAGGTTTTTTTCTTCTTGGTTTTTGAGACAGGGTCTCGGGAGCCAAGGCTGGCCTGAATTTGGCACGTAGCCTAGGATGATCCCTCCCCCCCACACACACACACAGTTTCTCTGTGGCTTTGGAGCCTGTCCTGTAAGTCGATCTATAGACCAGGCTGGTCTTGAACTCAGATCCGCCTGCCTCTGCCTCCAGAGTGCTGAGATTAAAGGCGTGCGCCACCACCACCTGGCACCTAGGATGGTTTTTAGTCCTCCAACTAACTCCCAAATTCAGGGATTACAGGTATGAGTCACCGCCTCACTCAAAGACAGTTCTCTCAAGTGTATTTTGTGATTGCAGGTACCTCTTCCTTCTTCCTGCCAGTCTCCTTTCTGCTTTATGGCAAAAATATAAACAGTTTTATGTATCCATAAATGAAGACAAACACAATGTATTTGTTTCTCTGTATCTAGTTCGTTTCATTTAATACACGGATTTCCAGTTAGAGCTACCCTCCAGCAAGTCCCCCCCTCCCCAGCCTCTGTGCGACTCCATGGAGCTTATATGGCAAATTTTCTCGTCAGTGGTGGGGCACCGAAGCTCATGCACTTGGCTCTTGTGAACAGTGCTGAAGTAAACATGGATCTCTGTAGAAGGCTGATGATAGAGTCTTCAGGAGCTGGTCAGATGGCTCAGTGGGTGGAGGCACCTGCTGCCAGGCCTCAAGACCCAAGTTAGGTCCCAGGGGCACACATGGAAGAGGAAAACCAATTCTTGTAAGTTGTCTGTCCTTTCAGCCATGGAAAACAAAAGGATGTGTGTGTGGAGAGCTGGAGGTATTAGATTTAGCTTAGCAAATGCTTTTACTTACTGAGTCATCATGCCAAGGGTATAAGACAAGGTTTCTCTGTGTAGCTTTGGAGCCTGTCCTGGAACTCTTAGAGCAGGCTAGCCTCAAACTGACAGAGATCTGCGCCGCCCCGCCCCTGGATTAAAGGTGTATACCAACACCTCCTGCCTTTATTTTTCTATTGAGTGTATATCTGTGTGCTCCCATATGGGTGCTGGGAACCAAACTTGGGTCCCTCAGTAAAAGCAGAAGACGTAATTCTGAGCATCTCTCCAGCCCCGAGAGTCTTAGGTCTTATATTAAGGTTTCAGTAATTTTAAATTGATATTTGTGGAATGTGTATAGTTTCTTGTACAGATTCAGGGTTTTCAGCAACATTTATTGATGTTCAAAAAGGGTTGTATTTATTTAATATATCTAAGTGTTTTGCCAGCATGTGTATATATATATATGTACTATGTACTTGCCTGATATCCATGGAGGCCAAAGGAGAAAGCCAAGTTCCCTGGAACTGGAGTTACAGAGATGGTTGTGAGCTGCCATGTGGGTGCTGAGAATTGAACCCTGGTCCTCTGAAAGAGCAGCCAGTGCTTTAACTGCTGAGCCATCTCTCCAGCCTCATATTTATTTATTTAGACTTATTAATAGTGAATTACATCATTTCCCTCTTCCCTCCAGGCCCTCCTAGTTATCTTCCCTGACACCCCTCCGTCACTAGCAAATTATCACATACATCCGTGTGTGTGTGTGCGTGTATGAACAGATATAAATACAAATATAAATGTGTGTATGGTTACAGAGCTGACAGCTTTATCGGATAACCAATAGGGGAGGGCCTCACCTGGGGGGGGGCGCCAATTAATTCTTCCTCTCCCAGAAATCATTAGTTGATACTGTCATTGCTCCAGGGTTGTCATGTGGCCATTTCTAGGAGAGGCTATTTCCTGGATGACACTCCAGTGTTGCTGTCCTGTGTTCTGGCTTTTTCCACACCCTCTTTCATAGTGTTCCTTGAGCCATGGATTTGGGAGCTGCGATGTAGATGTAGCCAGCCCTAGATATTTTTGTTGTATGTATAGGAGTGTTTTGCCCATATATATGTACAGTCACCATGTGTGTGCAGTGCCTGCAGAGGCCAGAAATTACAAGCTGGGTGTAAACTACTGTGGTGCTGGGGCTCCAGTGTAGGTCTTCAGGCTTGAAGACAAGCACCTTTGTCTGCTGAGCATATTGCTCATCTCAAGGTAACTTTTATATGTATATTCATCTTTTTTCCATTTAGTTGAGAATAAGAATTTTGTTTAGCCTCTTTTTTTGGTGACTATATGATGCTATAGTCCCTGGGGACTGGCAGTCCTGTCTCAGTCTCCCTAGTTCTGATCACAGGTGTGTGCTGCCTTGTCCAAGTTGGAAATGCTTTCCCAATTAGTAACAAGATGTTCTGAACGTCTTTGCAAATTCATTCAGCTAAGCCCAGAGAGACCCTTCTTCCTCAAAGGGACACAACTGTTCCCTGGATGGCACTCAGGTGTTGCAGCTTGTGGCTGAGGGTGACCTTACTGGAGATGGATAAAGCACTGTTGGTGCCTGATTCCCTGCAGATGGTATTATCTAGATGGGCCGTTCCTTCCTGCTCTCAGCAGTCTTGAAGGAGGGGAAGGTGGGCAAGGGAAGGGAAGAGACGTGAACATATTCATACAGGAGTGTGTGAGTGGAAGCTAATGTCTGACTCTTGTTTCCAGGGTTTTGCGGCCTCCAGGCGGCGGCTCCAATTTTTCACTAGGCTTCGATGAGCCATCAGAACAGCCTGTGAGGAAGAACAAGATGGCCTCTAGCATCTTTGGAACACCTGAAGAAAACCCTCCCTCTTGGGCCAAGTCAGCAGGTGCTGGTTTGTCTTTTGTTTGTTTGTTTTGTTTTTTGAGACAGGGTTTCTTTGTGTAGCTTTGGAGGCTGGCCTGGAACTCAGAGATCCCCCTGCCTCTGCCTCCCGAGTACTGGGATTAAAGGCGTGCGCCACCAACGCCCGACCTGTTTGTCTTGTTTTTAAGAGGGTTTTTCTGTGTAGCTCTGGGTCTCCTGAAACTCGCTCTGTAGACCAGACTGGCCTTGAACTCACAGAGAGCTGCCTGCCTCTTCCCCACCCCTTAGTGCTGGGATTAAAGGTGTGTACCGGACAGCAGATACCGGTTTCACAAAGTCACTGATCCAACTGGGTTTGGTACTGCCTAGTAAAGGCTGAACCCTAAGAGGTAAGACGTACAGCACTAGCTGGGTGTGCGTTACACCTGCAGTCCAGTACTTGGCAGACTCAGGCAGGGTGACTGGGAGTAGTGAGTAGATCCCCAGACCTTGGAGAGTCTACCATATGATAGCTGGAGTAAGTTAAGGATCAGAGGCGGAATGTCCCCAAGTAGTTTTCAGCTAGCCTGCCTGTCTTGTTAGATAGTATGTCTACTGTATTCTTTTCTAACAAGTAAGTGTATGTGTGTGAACCCTGTGGGTGGGTACTGGATGGCTCAACCCTCTCTCCAGCCCCTTCTGTTCATTTCTTTAAGTATGTATTGGTTTCTAGGTGCCAAGTCGAGTGGTGGCAGGGAAGATTCGGAGTCGCCTGGAGCACAGAGAAGTGCCCCCTCTGAAGCAAGCTCTGGAGACTTCTTAGACCTCAAGGTCAGTGTGAGAATAAGATGGCAGGCTCCTTGGCAGGCCAGCATGTGGGGTGTTGGGTCTTCAGTCCCAGCACCCAGGAGGCAGAAGTAGACCTCTCTGAGGTCAAGGCTAGCCTGGCCTACAGAATGAGTTCTAGGACAGCCAGCGCTACACAGAGAAACCCTGTCCTGAAAAAACATTTTTAAAAAATTTTTTGATTGCTCAGTTCTCCTTAAGGTAATGAACTGAGCCGTGTTGATGATGAAGATTAAAATGTAAGATTGGACAGAAAGCTAGACAAGTAAGCTGGGGGTGGAGCTCACTTGGAGTGTTTTCTTAGCTTGCCAAAAGCCCTGGGCCCACCCCCCAGTGCTGCCTCATGAGACCAAAATTAAGTGGCTCATACCAATTATCCCAGTACCTGGGTGGTGGTGGCAGCAAGATCAGCTTCACAGGGTTCTAAACCAGCCTGAGCTACATGAACCCCTCCTTCAAACAAAAGCCTAAGGGAGGCCAGAGAGTCAGATAGTAAGTTAACCTGGCCTGATCTGCTTAGATGTCTTAGTTTTAGGCTCTTTATTAACTCTGGGGCCTTCTGCAGCCTTTGCCTTCCTTTAACCCTCCTGTATCTTGGAGTTGAAGGACTGTGTCAGTTGTCTGCATGTTTGTATTGAACTCCAGGAAATGGCAGCACTGATGTCACAGTGGGATGTCTGTAATTAGAGCTGCCAGTGAGCCCCCTGGGTGTGTGTCTGGGAGGAAGTCTTCCCTCTAGGTGCCTCAGAGCACCCTGAGGCATCAACTCCTAGATAACTGGAGGTTGTGCAGTAGCTGTGGAGTAAATCCAGCCCTTCAGCAATTACATAGGGGAAGGAAAAAAAAAAGTTCCCCATTCCCTGTTTGAGAAAAGATGGTGTGTGTGTGTCTGTCTGTCTCTCTCTCCCTGGCACTGAGGCATTTATTATGCAGGACAGTTGCATAGCATTGCCCCAGATTGTATTGAATTGGATCCTGCAGTTACCAAAATGGAATTTCACATGTAATTTCAACTGGGCTAGCTGCTCTGAACTATGCTTTGTGCTTTGCAGCAGTAAAACAGGAACTAATTTTGAACTTTTCTTTTCTAGGGAGAAGGTGATATGCATGGTAAGTCCATCTGAATGCTGACCCCGTCCTGTAATGCTTAGGTCTGAATTAATGTTCAAATCGTGTCTCAGGGAGAGAGACCTGAGTGTGCCTCAGGGGCCAGCATACCCTAGAGAGGAAGGAAAAATGGAGCTGCAGGGAGTCAGTGTGGCCACATTTTATAACACACACACTTTTTTTTTTCCTAGACAGGGTTTCTTTGTGTAGCCTTGGCCTTCCTGGAACACTCTCTGCAGACCAGGCTGACCTAGAACTCAAGAGAGATCCACGTAGTGGTGCATGCTTTTAGTCCCAGCACTTGGGAGGGTGGCAGACCCTGTCTTGAAAAATCAAACAACAAAACACAAAACTCTGGCTCCTTGGAAGAGTAGCAAGTGCTCTTAATGACTGACTGCTCTTCTAGAGGACCTGGGTTCAATTCCCAGCACCCACAGGGCAGTTCACAACTGTAACTCCAGTTCCAGGGGCTCCGACGCCTTCACATAGACACATGCAGGCAAAACAACAATGCACATAAAATTAAAAATCACTACAACTAAAACCCAAGCCACATATATAAGTCAAGTAGCACAAGCCTTTAATCCCAGCGCTTGGGAGCTGGGGCTTTTACCCTCCAAAGTGTCTTCTTGCTGGCCCAATGCTGTCAGCCTTCATTCGATTAGAAAGGACTAAAAAGAAAAAAAATCCCAAATCAAAGAATATGAATCAGGCCAGTGTGTGGTGTGCTTACTGACAGTTCTAAGAGGTTCTGGGCTGGAGAGATAGCTAGGTGTTTGAGAGCACTGACTACTCTTCAAGAGGATCCAGGTTTGAGTCTCACAGCTGCTTGTAATTCCAGCTCCAGGGGATCCAACAGCCTCCCGAGTTCTGTGGGCATGGTGCATGTGCATGGTTCATCGACAAACACTCAGGCAAAGCACTTAAGACATAAAGATTTAAGATAGGCATGGTGACAGAGGCAGAAAAATGTTGTGAGTTCAAGGCCAGTCTGGTCTATATCTCAATTTCCAGGACAGCCAGGACTACATAGAGATCCTGTCCTAAAAAACTTTTAGAAAACAGGGTCTCATTATATAGACCTGAGTTCTGGCATTAAAGGCACCTCACTCCAGCGTAACCCTGTGTCTTTTTGGGCATCACAAGGTTGGCAATCTAGGGCCGCACTGGTTACCACACCGAGCCCTCCTGGCTTTGCAGCTGTGCTCATTTTCAGAGCACTACCACAATCAGACCGACCACACTCAACAGACAGAACCTGCCCAGCCCACACCCCACACCTTGTGACTGCCAGCCGAGGACTCTACCAGGGAACTATAGCCCTAGCCAGTTGATCTTAATTTAAAATGCAGAAAGCCTGGAGAGCCGAAAGCTCCGAAGATAGTAGTGTGGCCTAATGGCTCCCTCCCTGCCCCTCTGCCCTAGCTCAGCTGCAGGTCCTACAGGGAAACTGCTCACGGAACTCAAACATGGAGTCCTCTTGAAGTGGTCATGTGGCCCCTGGTTATTCTGAGCTTCTGACTGCTGTGACTTTTAGGCATTTGTCATAAAATAATTAATATGCACTTGGTAGGCTAAAGGGCAACTCTGTTTCTTTCCATTAGCTTCAAGGAAGGACGTGTTGAACATTAAGTGAGATAGGCTTTGTTTGGATAGAAGGCAGTCAAATACAAGAATGGGTACATGGAGGAGTTTGGACCTGCTCTTTGGGGAGGGCTGTGCCTGGTGGCTCTGCAATCCATAGGCCCAGCACATTGGAAGATGAAACAGAACAATCAAGACCAGAATTCAAGGCCAAGTCTGGGCTACAGGAGGAAGTAGGGGGAGAAGGGGTGGTGGGGAACCAGCTACTGAGATGATTTGCTGCTTAATGTCTTCACTTTTAAATTCCAACACTTGGAAACAGGAGGATCTCGGTGATTTCCACGACAGCCAGGGTTATATAATGAAACCCTGTCTGGAAAAAAGGGGGGCGGGGGTAGAGTCTGGAGTGGAGGATGAGGCTCAGTGGTAGTGTTGGCCCTAGCAAGTCACTGGCCTGGCTTCTCCTCAGATGTGTGTGGGGGAGAAAGGGAATTACGGCAGCCGTCTTCCTCCCGAAAGATAGAGGCAGCGTTCTTCCTTCTGACCCTGAAGCTCACTGTGAACATTTTCTTTTCAGCACTGGTGACTTTGTTTAGTTATTTTGTTGATGGGCTAAATAGCAAGTTATTATAGACAGTGTTTATTTTGATGTATAAAGCCCTAGGTTTGATCTTCAAGGTTGTTGAAATATTCCTCTTTAGAATTCCTAGTTTGAACGCTCACATTTATTGTCAGATTGCTGTGGAAGTATACACCTATGCTCGCTTTTTAAGACTTTTAATGATTGTGAATTTTAGGTATATGGCTGTTTTGCCTTCATGTAGGCCAAGAGGGCCTTGGAGCAAGATGGGACTGGAGTAAGAGCAGCAGGTGCTTTTAACTGCTGAGCCATCTCTCTCCCCTGCTTCCTTGTTTTATTTTTATTTTGAGATACGGTTTTCCTGTGTAACAGCCCTAGCTGTCCTGGAACTCACTCTGTAGATCAGACTAGCTTTGAACCCAGATCCACCTGCCTTTGCCTCTGCCTCCCGAGTGCTGGGGATAAAGAAAGGTGTGTGGCACCAGCACTCAGCTATTTTATTCTTGAGGCATGGTTTTTATAGTAGCTCAAGCTGGCCTCTCTACCTCTCTACCTGCCTTCACCTTCAGCACAGCGACTTCACATGTGAAATATGAAACAGGTTCATTAATGACACAAGTGTAAAATGGTGGGAAGGGATAGCCTATGAAAATGACCTACCCATAGTTCCTGGGAGACAGGGTTTCTCTGTGTAGCTTTGGAGCCTGTCCTGGAACTCATGCTGTAGATCCGCCTGTCTCTGCCTCCCAAGTGCTGAGATTAAAGGCATGGGACACCCTGATTTATCTTTTTGAGATGGTATCACGTTGTAGCCCTGACTGGCCTTGAATAGTCTGTGTAGCAAAGTATGACCTTGAACTCCTGATTCCCCTGCCTCTACCACCTGGGATTAAAGGCATACACAAAACAAGTAGGCAGTACACTGAGTTGACTGATATTTGTGTGGTTTTTCCACTGGTTTGAACCATTTTCTTTCTTCCTAGAAAACGTGGACACAGACTTCCAAGCCAGCCTGGGGCAGATTGAAGAGAAGCCTGTGCCCGCTGCTCCTGTGCCCAGCCCAGTGGCCCCGGCCCCAGTGCCATCCAGGAGAAACCCCCCTGGCGGCAAATCCAGCCTGGTCTTGGGTTAGCTTCCTTTGTTGGAACTCTGTCCTTCTGTCTGTTTTTCCGTGCTTGTGAACTGCACACCGTGAGCCTGACTGTACATCTTTGCATTTGTTCATTAAAAGAGAAGCACTTTATGTACTGCTGTCCTTGTTTTTCCTTCTCCTGCTTTCTGTTCCTTTTCTTCTGTCTGACTTCTGGGTCTGTGGGCCATGGCATGAATGTTTTCTAGTAGTAGGCTGGAATAGTAGACTGTTTTTAAGAACAAATGATCTGGGTCCTGATGTTGTTAGAGACGCTTTTGTACCAGGGTTTTTGATGCTGTATTTGGCTTAGTGTGGTGAGACAGATGACAGCCACAGGTGCTGCCCTTCAGCCCCTGTAGAGTGGTCTGTGACACAGCACGGTAGCTCCTTGGTATTCCCACCGTCAGTGTCCTTCGCTAAGTGCGCCTTCCTGTGCCGTGTGGGATGATAAGCACGTGCACCTCACCCTGCTGTCTGCAAAGGAAGGAAGCCAGGGCCACTGTGACTGGCTAGCTGCTGGGCAGAGCCACCCTGGTGCAGAGGAAGGCTTCAGGTGTACCATCAAGCCGCCTGGAATTGCAAGATGAAGCACACAAGGAGGCAGTCCCGTGGGGACGTCCTAATGGAATAACTCAATGCCATGTGCATGACGCTGGTGCTTGACCATGAAGAAAAGTCTCGTCCTTGAAACTTGTACTTCTCAGTCCTGGACTGTTGCTTAAAGTAAACAATACCCACCTTTTGAAGCACTGTGTTTTGTCTTTTTTCCCCCAAAGTGTGTGTGTGGTGTGTGCATGCATAAGGGGGAGGGGAGAGTCAGTCTACTGACTTCCAGCTGAAGCTGGTCTTGAACTCTTGACTGCACCTTCATGTGCAGTGTTACAGGCATGCACTAGTATACTTAGCTGACGCAGTGCTGAGGACGGAAACCACCAGGGTGTCCTGCATGCTGTCTTTCAATGGAGACTCACCCCGTCCTGGCTTTCTGACAGTGTTTGAATGTCCTTCCTAGAAACAATCCTGCCCGATGATTTGAAAGCCAAAGGCATTAAGTCTGATTTGAAAGCCAAAGGCATTAAGTCGGCTTCAGCCTCCCACAGGCTGGAGTGGGGGGGGGGGTTTGCGCCCCCCCCAGCGGGCCAGGACGGACAGCCACAGCACATGCAGGAGGCTTGGCTTTGGAACCCACAGCCCTGTAGCCACATGTTTTGCCTCTCTGGGAATTAAGAATTGCTCAAAAAAAAAAAAAAAAGAGGAGATTCTATTAATTGGTCTACAAAAATTAGACCAAGCTGGGCGTTGGTGGCGCACGCCTTTAATCCCAGCACTCGGGAGGCAGAGGCAGGTGGATCTCTGTGAGTTAGAGGCCAGCCTGGTCTCCAGAGCAAGTGCCAGGATAGGCTCCAAAGCTAAACAGAGAAACCGTCTTGAAAAAAAAAAAAATTAGACCAAAAAGGTACAAATTAGGAGAGACTGATTGCAGACCCCCCCCCCCACCTCCCCAGACAGGGAATGTTTCTTAGCCTCATCTTTAAAGATGTATGTTTACAGTGCATGTCTGCCTGCACACCAGAAGAGAACACCACGTATCAATTACAGATGGTTGTGAGCCACCATGTGGTTGCTGGGAATTGAACTCAGGACCTCTGGAAGAGCAGCCAGTGCTCTTAACCTCTGAGCCATCCCTCCAGCCAGCCTTAACTCTTACTGGAGAAACACCTGGTCAGAGTGTTACGAGGGAGTGGCTGGCTGGCTGTTCAGCCAGTCTCAGCATTGTTGAAGCAGATTGCTGGACTGTCTGGTGACCTAACTGGAAGGGGTCCAAGCACCCCACTTTAGAAAAGCATCTATGAGGTCATATGATCTTCAAACTTTAAAAATGGTAGTAGGGTTGATGTGCTCGGGAGGTTGCTTAGCAGTTAAGAACATCACTGCTTTTGCAGAGGACCCAGGTTCAGTTCTCAGCACCCTTTTAGCAGCTCACAACTGCTGGCCTCCGCAGGCACTGCATGACTGTGCACATTCATTCATACATACATGTGGGCAAAACAAAATCTTGTTTAAACTGTGAGGTTCAGTGCTGCATGCATTTAATCGGAGAACTTGAGAGGTGGAGGCAGGAGCATCCTGAGTTCAAGGCTAACTTCAGGGACCATAGTGAATCTGAGGCAAACCTGGGTGCATAAAACCCTGATGCTGCTCATCCAGAGGTCCTGCTTCATTCCCAGCAACCACACGGTCGCTCACAACCATCTGTGATGAGATCTGGTGCCCAATTCTGGTGTGCAGGCAGACATGCAGAAGAACACTGTGTACATAATAAATCTTAACAACAAAAAAAACCTTGCTCTGCAAGCATGAGGGACCCCGGTTTGAATCCTCCATACCAGATGTAGCTGTGGGTGCCTGCAACCAGAGCACTGAGAAGTGGGCAAAAGTAGATCCTAAGAGTCTGCCAGCCAATAAGGTCAGCCCAGGGGAAACCAAGCTTCTGGCTCCATGAGAGTCCAGGTATCAAGGCAATAAAACCGAGGCTTTCACAAGGCACATTAACCACCATACACAGAGTACACACAAATATAAAACAAGCCAATATAAATAAACCACCACATACGAAAAAGAACAAACGTTCCAGGGCAGTGGACACCTTTAATCCCAGCACTCGGGAGGCAGAGGCAGAAGGATCTCCGAGTCTGAGGCCAGCCTGGCCTACAGAGCCAGTTCCAGGACAACCAAGACTACACAGAGAAACCCTGTCTCGAAGAAAATAAAAACTAGGAAAGGAAGTAAAAAGTAGGAGGAACAAGACATTCTAGAAGTAAATGGAGGTGATGACTGATGTATATTGAATACTGATAATTATACCCCTTAAAAGAGAAGCCCTGTCTCAAAAAATAAATAAAAAACAAAAAAGCCCAGTTAAAGTGAGGGTGCCTTACCTGCACTCCTTGATCACTTGGTGAATGTCAAACTCAAAGGCTGCCATCAAGATGTTGTCCAGTGGCTCTGGACTGCTCTCACCCCCCAGAAACATGTCCAGGCTAGACTGTGGAAGGTGATAGCCCAACTCAATCTCCCAAGATGGAAGCAGAGACTGGGGGTGGGGGTGGGGGTGCGGGTGGGAGGGGGGGTGGGGCGGCT